ACTCCTCCTTCTTCCATTGCAAGTCACCTTGAAGCTAACCTATTTTGCTTACACCATCACTACACACCATATACAACCTTGTCATACCACCCTAAAGCCTTGGTTAATCTTGAGGAAGTGTAATTCAAGCTTGAGAACAAGCTTGCTTCTTGGAAGGTATAAGCTTGCTCTCTTCTTTTCTTACTTTCATTTCTATCTTTTACTTCATCATTCTTGTTGTTTTGGTTGGTTTTGAATGGTTACCAAAAGGGTAGAGAGAGTTTGCTCTTTCTACACCTTTATTCATAATTCAAACTCTTCTCATTTTCACTCTTTTTCTTTGGTATTCATACTCATTTTCAGAGGTTTGAAATGGCTGAAAACCATGTTTTGAAGCTTCAAAAATGGAGGGGTCAACCACCCCTCCTCACCCTTGTTTACTAGCCTTAATACTCGTCTTTGTTGTCTAGCTTTTTAAAACCTTTTCATGAATGTTTCACCTCTAATTTGCATGTATTTAGGACTGTTTTGAGGTTGTCTAAGCTTTTCTAATTGGTTCATGCCTTGTTAGATACACTTGAGGTCTCATAGTTGGCATACTTGTTGTTTAATATGCTTTCTTGGTTCATTTTACATGCTTTGGGGCCTGAATTTGCTAATCAATCAATCAATCCATATCTTTCATTCATGAGCATGGTTTCAACCAGTTGAGGTTCCTTAATGCATGTAAGGGAGACCTACACTTAATGGCTTAATCTCTTCGGAGATTCATCATCAACGGTGTAGTCTCCTTCTTATGTTTTGGGAGGACCTCTTGTTTGACATCACTTCTCATTTAGAGGACTTTAACATCACATTTGGACAAATAATGAATGGTAAGGACTAAAACAATTGGTTTAAAATTTGGATCAACACACCTAAAGAAAAATGGTTTAAATAGCTTGAACTTGGTCGGACGTTATGCCAAGTTTCTTGTGCCAAGGGTCATTGAGCATCAATTCATGGTGTTTTTGATGTCCTTGAAGCGTCTCGACTTCCTTTTTTGAGTTCTTTCCATGACAAAAATGGAGGGGTGGTCCATTTGCATTACATTTTTTGAATTTTGTCCAAAATTGAATTCGAGATCATCAAGCGATCATATCACTCATTGATGGTTTTGGAATCAATTCCAACCTTCTCTTGAGGTTTTCCTGTGACAAAGAAGGAAGGAAGGACAAACGGAGCTTGAAAATGCTCTGTCTGCACTGATTTCACCTCAGAGCACAAAAACAAAGTTTGCACCAAATCAATGCACGGCCAGCCCTCTGTAGGCCCGACCGGCCATCAGTAATGCACGGCCGGCCCTTGGTGTGTGGCCAGCAGTGTAGTTTTGCAGAAACAGAGATTGTAAGTCACCTTGAAGCTAACCTAGCTTGGTTACACCACAACTACACACCATATACAACCTTGTCTCACCACCCTAAAGCCTTGGTTAATCTTGAGGAAGTGTAATTCAAGCTTGAGAACAAGCTTGCTTCTTGGAAGGTATAAGCTTGCTCTCTTCTTTTCTTACTTTCATTTCTATCTTTTACTTCATCATTCTTGTTGTTTTGGTTGGTTTTGAATGGTTACCAAAAGGGTAGAGAGAGTTTTCTCTTTCTACACCTTTATTCATAATTCAAACTCTTCTCGTTTTCACTCTTTTTCTTTGGTATTCATACTCATTTTCAGAGGTTTGAAATGGCTGAAAACCATGTTTTGAAGCTTCAAAAATGAAGGGATCAACCACCCCTCCTTACCCTTGTTTACTAGCCTTAATACTCGTCTTTGTTGTCTAGCTTTTTAAAACCTTTTCATGAATGTTTCACCTCTGATTTGCATGTATTTAGGACTGTTTTGAGGTTGTCTAAGCTTTTCCAATTGGTTCATGCCTTGTTAGATACAATTGAGGTCTTATAGTTGGCATACTTGTTGTTTAATATGCTTTCTTGGTTCATTTTACATGCTTTGGGGCCTAAATTTGCTAATCAATCAATCCATCCATATCTTTCATTCATGAGCATGGTTTCAACCAGTTGAGGTTCCTCAATGCATGTAAGGGAGACCTACACTTAATGGCTTAATCTCTTCTGAGATTCATCATCAACGGTGTAGTCTCCTTCTCATGTTTTGGGAGGACCTCTTGTTTGACATCACTTCTCATTTAGAGGACTTTAACATCACATTTGGACAAATAATGAATGGTAAGGACTAAAACAATTGGTTTAAAATTTGGATCAACACGCCTAAAGAAAAATGGTTTAAATAGCTTGAACTTGGTCGGGCATTATGCCAAGTTCCTTGTGTCAAGGGTCATTGAGCATCAATTCATGGTGTTTTTGATGTCCTTGAAGTGTCTCGACTTCCTTTTTTTGAGTTCATTCCATGACAAAAAAGGAGGGGTGGTCCATTTACATTACATTTATTGAATTTTGTCCAAAATTGAATTCGAGATCATCAAGCGATCATATCGCTCATTGATGGTTTTGGAATCAATTCCAACCTTCTCTTGAGGTTTTCCTGTGACAAAGAATGAAGGAAGGACAAACGGAGCTTGAAAATGCTCTGTCTGCACTGATTTCACCTCAGAGCACAAAAATAGAGTTTGCACCAAATCAATGCACAGCCGGCCCTCTGTAGGCCCGACCGGCCATCAGTAATGCACGACCGGCCCTTGGTGTGTGGCCAGCAGTACAGTTTTGCAGAAACAGAGGCAGTGGCTGAAGGTGAAACAGAGGCAGTCTGGGGCAAACAGAGCAGCTTTCAAGCGATGCACATGCAACCTCCATCCATCTTCCTTGATATCCATATCAAACGCGTTGTTATTTAATTGCTTCATTAGCATAATGAATTGTGTTGTTCCCCGTCGGGGACGGGGACGGGGACGGGGGGAAGTTCTGCCATCGGGGATCGGGGACGGGGAGGGTGATCCCCGGCCCCGCCCCGCCCCGTTGCCATTCCTAGCAGTGGCTGAAGGTGAAACAGAGGCAGTCTGGGGCAAACAGAGCAGCCTTCAGGCGATGCACATGCAACCTCCATCCATCTTCCTTGATATCCATATCAAACGCGTTGTTACTTAATTGCTTCATTAGCATAATGAATTGTCTTGTAATATTTAATTAGTCTAATTAGTTGTAGCTAATTAGTTGATGTTGTAATATTTAATTAGCTTAACCTAGTTAATTTCTTTTAATTAGCTTAGATAGTTACTTAATTACTTATTTCAAGTGTTGTAATAATTAGTTTAATTAGCTTAATTAGCTTAACTTAGCTTAGTTAGTTAGTTAGTTTTTTTCATTCGGACCCTCCTTCGCGATGGCATAATGTTGTAATAAGTGTGTGTGAGTCCGTGTGTGTATGTTTTCCAACCCCACGTCTTTCTCCCTTTTTATTTAATCGATTTTGATGGTTAGATTAGGGACATGTTTCGCTTAGCACAATTATGCCTTATGCTTGCATCCATTCATTTGTATTGCATGCACCGAGGCTCGGCGCATCATTCTAACTGCATTGCCATTTCAATATCTTCTTTGAATATGTGTTTAATCGCATGTTGTTCAAATCGGTCCATATACCATATTAGTAGCCGAGCCTATTAATTGCATATTACATGCATTGCATTAGGCATCTTATATAGTTAGAAATCATGCATAGTTTTCTAGCCCATGTTTTCATAGCTCGGAGTACTAGGTGAGTTTTTACGCTTTAGCATACTTGCATAAGTGTGAATGTTGTCATGGTTAGCATGCTTACCATGAGGCTATGTGCTTACTTGCTGAACTGCTTGAATGCCTGTGGATGAAGGGTTGTTGTTTGAATTGGAACGATTCAACCAATATATGTTTTAAGCCCACTTTATTGAGTGGCAAATCATGTTTTAAGCCCACTATGTTTGGTGGCAAATCTGCAAACTTTAAGCCCACTTAAGGTCGCAAATTCAAACCATTTTCGCAAACATACATGAGATGAATTGTTCCAAATTGATCAAACTAGTCTATACTTGCTCGTGCGCATCGCATAGTAAAGCTAGATTAATAACTGGAATAAGAGCACATAATGTCTATAAAAAATCATATCATGATTAGTAAAAGCCGATCTTTGATCGGGCTAGTGGGGATGCTCAATCCATGACCTTCCCCTCTCGTACCTAAGTTCTCGAGCCGAGGCAACTTTGGTGATGACGGACACGTGGCCTTTGACATAAGTCATGGGTTTCCTAAATTTCTCCAAAATAAAATATTTAGGTGACGACTCTGTGTCTGGCAAAACAGTTCATTTTTGACATTCCTGATCCTAAAATCAATTTTTTAAAAGATTTGTCGAATTTAAACTCTTTAATGTTTATCAGTTTCACATTTCACTTGTAAAATTAGATTCAAAACCGCAGAAGTCCAAACTGTAGGTCTTTCTTTTTAGGGTTTTGTCTTTTATATCTATGCTTCATAGGTTTGAATCTAACACCATCGATCTAAGAAATAACAGTTTTATCATTTTAGTGACACAACATATATACTTTCAAATGAAAATAAAAATTTATATTTTACAAATTTAATAACACTCATCAAGTGGGTATACACGGACCAGTATGTATATAGATATGAGAGAGAGAGAGAGAGATTGATTGATTACAAGGATGATCCTAGAAATTGACTGTTCATTTTTTAAAACACAAATATAATTGCATGATTAAACACAAATGTAACTGGATAATATTATTAATATCCGATGAACTTGATTTTATATATAAATGATCGCTTGGACAAATCCTAAAAAATAAACCATTGAAATCATTAAGCTAAACCCAAGATGGACCCAACTAAGCCCGCAGACAGCCTGCTGTGCATTATGCGAACAGCAAGAACCCTAGATCCACTATTGGAGAGGAAAGACACTAGTTTCCTGCTATTTTTTAAGCAATAGATAGAAGCCTACAGAGATGACCATGAAGAAGCTCTAAGGTCACTTTCCTAAGCCAAAAATCAAAACATGAAAATGAAGGAAAAGAAAAAACACAGAATAAACATTTCAATACAAAATTACACTTAGCAGAACAGAACAACGTCAGCGGCATAGATCATTAAGAGAAAGATTACAAAAGACTAGTTTTATGGGTTTTCTGCTGAAAAGATAATACTTCAACTAAAAAACCTAAACAGAGGAGAAATTGAGCTTTTCTGTACAGAAAACAGATTTAATCCGACGTCCTTATCTGGGGCAGCAAATGAAGAACAGAGGCTGCAATCAAAACAAAATTACATTACCTTCCACTAAAACTTTCCTGCCTTCTCCGAACAACCTTTGTTTCCAACAAGATCTCAAACCTAATTGCCAATGTAATCAGGTCGGTAGCGCTTGAACAAGAACAATCTTTCTCCAACAAATGAAAAAATCTTAATTGTCTCCCGCCTGATAGAGAATCAAATCAAAGCAACCCAATTCGATAAAAACTTCTATTGTTCAAAGATTTCTATTGTTAGCCTGGCTAGAGGAGGGAGTTGATGCCTTCAATCTAACCAACCTCTCATCCCGGTCAGAGCTGAAGAGATTACTCCAGTTTGTCGTCCTCTGCACAATCCTTGAAGGAACTCTGTCACTATCTTCCCCACCAGATGCTTCATACCCATCACTTGTTGACCTTGACAGAGGTGTTTCTTTCTGAGTCACAACACCAGCAACAGATAGGCCTGTGAGCCTCTGTACCTCTTCAGTGCCTGATGAGGAGACCCCGAATGGGTGGAGATCAGGGGAGTCCAAACTGCTCTCTGGAGATGAAGCAACAATGCCAGTTGTGCTTGACATAGCTCGACTAGTTCGGAAAGCACTCCGGGCCTCAAGCTGTAGAGGGGCCAAACTGGTTGATGTCTCAGTGATGAGATCATTCACATTGCTTTCAGCAGCTTTAGCTGAAACATTTGAAAGGGTTTGAAGGGGTATTAATTCTGCTGGGAGGCGAACTCGCTTACTAGCTCGCCTTCGACTATTGTTGTTGTCGGGTTTTGGGGCCAATCGGCGACCACTGCTGCCAAAGCTGCTATCTGTTTCTAGGCCAAAAGGAGGTTCCCGTCTCACAACAGGCTGAAGTATTTTCGATCTTTTTCTTGCCTCCGCGGCAACTTTTGAAACCTCTTCTGCATTTAGGCGTGCTAGTGTCCACGGACTGATCTTCACAGCTGCAGTATTCTTTTTCTTGATTGTCTCATCACTGACCATCTTTTTACCTAATGAACTCACAGATCCAGTGTCTGGTGGAAACACGTCAAACTGAAACAAAACCAGAGATTGCAGGCAACATCAAAACCAAAATCAAGAGCTGTAGGTAGGTCTCATGTCTCTTGAAAAGTCGATTATAAATTCGAAGGCATTCTCATGTTTCTTGAAAGGTTGACTATAGATTCAAAGGCATTTGAGTCTGTACCAACCAAAAGTGCCACACATTTAAATGTCATTTACCAAAGTGAGATGTCTTTGCTCATCTCTTTTGCTCGCTCAGTAAAATAACAGGAGTTTCTGTGAAGTTGGCAAAAGGCTTTTGAAATGAACTCATTTGCTATTTCCAGGTACAAAGTGGCCGCTGCCAAACCAAACTATGACCTTTCTAATTTCAAGATGCTCTGGCAGCAGCCATTTTAACCCTGGCAATAAGGGGCCCCATTAACTAAATCATCTTTCATTTTGATGGAGAGTAGATGTTATATTGCCATTTAGATTGAGCAATTGGCATAAGAAACTTCCATCTCCAAAACCAATATAAAATCTCAATTAATTCATCCAATTAGTACATGTTCCAAACACATGAAGACCATAGACGTAAAATTGTAGACAACAGTTAGATCAGTCCTACCAGGAAAGAATTAACCTTGTTTAAACGACCATAACAAACTCAAACAATCAATTTTCATGATGGAAATAATCAATGCAGAAAAAGAGTACTCTAGGAACAATCTCACCAACTGGTTAAAGATTCTTTAACCTACGAACCATAAGAAGTTTTGGGAAAGCAATACGTGTGTGATATCTGATATGTATCAATATCTGATCTAGCATAAGAACATATTGGTCAATCATACCTGATCTTCAAGAAACATGCGTGGAGGTGTACACCACGAGCCAGCACCTCGGTGGAAAGTATTGAAGGAACTTGCACTGCTTAACCCAGTGAGAGAGCTGGCAGGTGACAACTGAGGACTTTGCTGACCTCCAACCCCTTGCTGCTCTTGCTCTCTCAAGGCTATGATATAATCATATGTGCTGATACCCTGAAACACAAGCATTCAAGGAATTAGCTAATTAATATATTCTTTATTTATTTATTTTTACGTTTTATGTTTTGGGCAAATTTCACTTTACCCCCTTTGGTTTGGCTCATGTACGGATCGCCCCTTATCATTTGAAAATAACTACATAACCCCTTATGATTTGTGCACCAAAGTGCAAGTCAACTTCCATTAACAAAAGTTGCTAATTTACCAAAATACCCTTATCTCCTTCTTCTAAACCCTTCTCTCTCTCTCTCTCTCTCTCTCTCTCTCTATATATATATATATATGTAACAGCACTCGGGAGTTGATATACGTGTAAAGAATTTGATTTGGTTAAAGCCATCCATTGATGACAGGGTTAAAACACTCCATTGAAGGCCCACCATTTTCGTAAATTAGTGAAATGAAGAAACCTCCATTGATGCCTACCATCAACTTAAATTAGTAAAATGAAAAACAATCTGATTCACTGCCTAGTTTGAAGGCAGCAACCCCCTCTCCCTCCACTAGCTCAGTTCCACTTAGCCACCCCCATCTCATATGGTCAGCCCCACTTACCAACCTCCATTACACAACTTCTTCCATTACACAACTACTTCATCAACGTACCTTTGCCACCCAAATTTTAAATCCAAATCAAAATCCAATTTTTAGAGGAATGTTGTGTTGTGAGTGTTTTAATTTGGAGTGGAAAAATAGATTCCAAAGAAGCAAAGTAATCTAATTCATATGCAGGTTGTCTTAATTTGGATGGGGCAGAAACAAAATACTCTCAGCAAATTGATAAACCAAGGAGCATGTATACTCCTTACGAGATGCAATCGACTGGACAACACGTTTATGGCCTCTGGGATTTTGTTTTTGGGATCAACGCAGTGAGCAACAACTTGGGCTCTCTCATAAACTGATTCAGCATCAAATTGGTGCAGCTCTGTGGGTTGAATGTAGCAAAAATGGTGGTGGGGAAGGGTTGGGAAACGGAAGGGGTAGGGGTGGCAGGAGAGAGAAGAGGGAGGAAGAAGGTGAAAAAAATACAAAAAAGAATAGCACTCTTTTGTAAATTTGAAGATGTATAATACGTATTTCTTTAAAATTCGTATACTCTCCACATAGGCACGTGTCCCTCACATGCTGTTAATTTGGATGGAAAAACTGACTGTACACTTGGGTCCACAATTCATCAGGAGGTTATGTGGTCATTTTTAAATGATTAGAAGGTTATCCGCACATGAACCAAACTACAAGGAGGTAAAGTGAAATTTGCCCCTCTTTTTTTTTGGTTAATTTAGGAGTTGATTTACATCAACTGTATGTCAGGAAAAAAGAATATAGATCTCCTGGATCTTATAAAAAAAGGGTAAAGAAAATAGAAGCACTGTAATGTAACTAAAACATAATCCACAAAATTATATGAACAAGATGATTTCTAGGTTACCAACCTTCTTTATGAGAAGAATGTGAAAGAAGAAAAGCTGAGTGAGTGGCAGAGTGGCAATCATAGCCAAAATGGTGCACACAACCTGTCACAACATAAAGTTACACTTTGTTACTCCCAAATAGGAGTGCTGGATAAGATTAAAGTAAGACATTGCTCAGTTTTCATTTTGCTAAAGGAAGTCAGAAAATATTCGTTTGCCAAATATATAAGGTTGACTAGCATATGCACACCCATCAAGTTAAATTAAACAAATGAATAACATCTCAATAGAGAAGCCAAGAAAAAGAATGAAATACCCACCACCACAATAACAAAGGGTACCACAGTGAAACTGCTTCCCAACTTGGTAGTGACATCCACAGAGAAACTCTTCCGCTCAAGAAAACAGCAGATTAGTACAATGATTCCAGTTGACCATTGAAGTATAAGCTGCAATCTCAAGTCCAAGGTGCACAAACCATGTATATACCTGTCAATAATCAATTAAAATGAAAAATGACTTGAAAATAAAATGCTTACTCCGAGGGGATCACCAGGTTTTGGAAAAGCCAATAGTCGATAGCAAATTCAGGACATGAGACATTTACACAAAAGGATAGATGAAGAGTTTGGGAACTAATCATGAGCCCACCATGAAAAGAAACATAGAGAATGGAGGTGACAAGATCGAGCAGCAGGAGGGACTATCTTTCTTTAAGTAGCATAATAACAATAAGAATACTAGGAAAGCATGGTGGCTTGGGAAAATGAACAGACTGTCATAGGAGATTACCAAAACATAAGTTTGAACCTATTAACAGTATTAACATGTAATTTCACAGGTCACAGAAGCTCATTCACAGATAGACAGACTAAAAAGTCCGCAAAGTATTCAGAATTCTAGATAAAGATCGGAAATTTGGAAAGATTTGCACAGAGACTTAGAGAGTCGAGCTTTTTTGGATTAAAGAAGTTGGACAAGCTGGACACCATGGGAAAGATATATAGAAGGATGTTGGTGCACTATGTGGTTTCCAAGCTAAGGGATGGAGACCCATGCTTACCAAGACAAGGGCAGAAACCATGAGAGTAAAAAATTGCCGGTAGTTCCTTCTGCCTATACAATTGTTGAGCCACTAGAAAACCAGAAAAGAAAAATGCATAAGAGTTTTGATTATATAAAATGAAATAAAATAAAAAAGAAGAAAGAAAGAAAGAAAGAAAGAAAAATTCAACCAAACCAAAGGCACAGAAATACCCTGCAGTGATGATCAAATCGGTCTACGCATTTATCACAAACTCTACAATGCTTGCTGTACTTGAAAACCTGCAACAGAACAGTGTGCCATGAGGACATGTAAAGCAGGATTGATTGGTCCTGCACAACCAGACTACAGTTTGGAAGGAACTTCAGTAGTGGAACCCATGGAGTGGCACATTTAGCTAGTGAATGCCACGGTATTGAAATGACAATGATTACAAGGACTATTAGGCAAGAGCTCTCCTCATGACACAACAAATAAAGCATTCACACAACAATTTGAAGCCATCTAAACATCATGCAGATGGATCTACGCACCTCTACTTCACACAAACTGCAGTAGAACATGCCATCTTCACTCAGTTGTTGCTCAGAAGATTCTTCATGTGGGCTTGAGCAGTTGCACATAAAAGCACAAGGAAGAAAAGCGAACAGAGCCATAAAACCAGATGGATATTGTGATGATGCATTTTTAGTCTCAATTTCATTAGCATAATCTTCTGCTGTTGTATCCATATCCTTTGTGTTTTTATCCAAAGATTTCCCCCCAATTGTTGTAGCAGTTGCATCCTGTATCGATGAAGTTGATTCCCCACCTAGTTTAGATTCCTCGAGCCGAGCATGCTTTTTGCTGTCAGGAATCTTAAGATACTTTTTCGACTTGAAGACTCCGGGATCAGCAGGATCAGCTGCTGCACACCAAATATATAGGCTGAACACACATATAATCTGCAAAGAAAAGATATTGAAATTTCAAAAAGACAAAAGGATGTATTCAAATTACAAATTCAGAGAATTCAGACGAGATTTGGTGTTCAATTACTTTAAGCCAGAGAAACTTAAGTTGCAAAAAAAGTGTTGGAAATGGTTATAAAATTCTGGGTAAAACCAGAATTTTTTCCTAAGTTTGGTCTATTTTTTAGGTAGGCCCCCGAGGGTCGATTTTCACGAGTCAAAGTAGTAACGCGTTCTATGCCACGTTGTGATTCAAGTGGTATGTTTGGTTGTTCAAAATCATTACCAAGTGAATGGGAAATTGAAGCCAAAGTGTGCTCCATAGAAATGGAGTTTTGGTGAAAAATCCTTAAAGATATTGAATAAGGCTTGTCCCATATTGATTTGGTGGGAAGTTTTAAATAGGTTTATAAGGCATGGGATTGGAACTTGGGATGTGCCCCAAGAGGTACCCAAGTGTTTTAGAGAGGGAAGTTATGGGCAAAATGGGCTAGACCCATTGGACCCAAAAATCACCACACGCGCCGCCGTCCGGTCGGGCGGGTTGGGCTTGGGCGCGGGTGCGTGGTGTGTGGTTGGATTGGGCTTGTTCGGCCCAATACTAATCTTTTTGGGTCAAAAACATTTGAATTAAATTTTATTTTTTGAAAAAAAAAATCCAGAATTCAAATTAATTCCGGAAATAAACTGGTCCGGTTATTCCTGTACACCCAAACAGGGCCCTTACCGTTTTTATCTGTTCAAATTTGAACCCAACAGACTTGTATCTGTTTATTCAAACTGAACAGGTATCATACCTGTTCAAACAGGTTCTGCACCTGTTTAATTCAAAACTAACAGCCACAATTCTGCCTATAAATAAATCAGCCCTCATTTGTTATCAGATATATAATTTTCGTCCTTCAGAGCTCTACAAATTTAATCTTCATTTTTGTTGCATTATTTTCTTATAAGAAAGAGTATAAACACTTAGTGTGTTCGTAAAGCAAACAATTTGTAGTGCTGCTATTGTTTGTAGTAGATCATTTCATCCTGAGAGATAGACGTCCATTTTCTGAAAGCACCGTGGAGAGGACGAATCTATCTTAAGGACACAGTGTCTAACACTGGACTTGATCAGATATTAATTAGAAGAAATTAATCAAGTAAGTTGTTTAATTTATTATTCTGTTTTATTTGTTTATTAAATCAGATTTTAATTTTGTTTTTGTAACAAAATAAAATCTGTTTTTATTTATTTATTTATTTATTTCTAGTTTGATTTTTGTAATCAAACAAATTCTCTCATTTCCTTTATTTCTTTATATTCTTGTTGTTACTTAGTACACAGCAGAATTTAATCTATTTAAATACAGTAAAGATTGTCCTACAAAAAGTAAAACTAGATACCTTTACTAATTGGCAGTTAGCAACTGTACTGAATAGGCATATAGGTAGGTGACCATTTACTAAAATTTATTAAAGTAGCATTCGAGAATATCTCAACAATTGATGTTAACTATTAATTAGCAGAGAAACTAGCAATAACAGATTATGCACCTCTACCATCTGCTACCTTACAAATTATGATAGATGAGCTAATATGCAACAGGGAGCATGATAACAAACTCAACCGATTATAATCTAGATTCTACAATTTCCAGTATTCAGAATTTGCTCATCCAAAAGTAATATTAGCAATATGTGGAATCCATGGTGCATAATGATTCTTTATCATGCCAAGAAGTTCAAAATTACACTATAGACACATGAACCAAAGAGATGGCTAAACTTTGACAGAATCATGGTAGTAACTACGGTCTTGCACAAAGACGGCCAATCTGAATTATGGAACCACGTAATCAATCGATATGATGAAGGTGATCACATAACTTAAGCATGACCACTCATTACTTAATTGATCACATAAGCGTTGTTGGTAGTGCTGAAAAATGTGTAAAAGGTGTATTTAAATATGTAAAAAAATGTATAAAATAATATAAAAGTGTTTTGGGATATGTCAATTGGAATTATAAATGTTGTCCTTTTGTGTTCCGTTTGGATTGGTGGTTTAGGAGGGGGAGTGAAGAATTTGAAGTGATAAAGTTAGTTAAAATCATGTTTGGATTAGTTTTAATGGGGGAAAGGGAAGTGCATGGAAGTGTTATGATATGAGAGAGAGTACAAACATTTTAAGCACTTCACTTCCACTCCGAAATTGGGAGGAAACGGAAGGGAAGTGAAGTGTTTCTCACAATAATTACAAAAACAATCCTAGGGTTGGAGCCTTGTAGCAAAATAAATTCTAAGTTTATAGTTTATCAAATTAAACCTTAATCTTTTGATTTGTTTTTAGTCTAAACCATTTGCTTATTTCCGTTAGGTAAAACCTTAGTTGCATGAAGTGGGAGCGGGAGTGGAAGCGGAAGCGAAGAAGCGTGAGCTGATAGAAGTTTCTTAGGTTGGGAGCGCCTCGGCAAGTGGGTAATGTATACATATATATATTAATACACATTAGAAGTCTTTTTATAAATATTTTTATTTTAATACACATTAATTATTTTTTTTATTTATTATATTTTTTAAATAATGTGTTATTGTTAATTTATTTTTTTATTTTTAATTGATATATATATATATATATATATTATAAATAAATAATTATAACAAATAAGGAATAATAAAATATGTTAAAATAAATAAAAATTAAAAATTGGATGATTTATTTTATAGATTTTATTAGATTTTTTTTTATTATATATGATTTAATTAGATTTATTATTGTATAACAAATTATATTATTTATTATATGTTAAAAACGAGAGGGGGACACAAATCGACAAGAGAGAGAGAGAGAGATAGAGAGCGAGAGAGAGAGAAGAAGAAGAAGAAGAAGAAGACGAGATGATGAAGAAGAGAAGAGAGAGAGAGAAGAGGAGTTCGAGAGAGACGAAGACAGAGTGAAGAGGAGATCGCGAGCAGATCGAAGGCGATGTAACAAAGATCGAAGGCGATGTAACAAATCGAAGCCGTGTCCGAGAAACCCATGCCCTAAACCACTGAATCCATGTGATAGATCGACGATGAGACCAACTTTCTCTCTCTCTCTCTCTGTCCCCTTTTCGATCCCATCTTGGACTGAATCGCATTTCTGAGTTTCTCTCTCCACAGAAATGCGATTCTTACACGTTTCTTTCTAGGAAATGCAGAATTGCAATTCTTACTCAGAATCGCCAACTGATTGCACGATTCCTACAACTAAGGGTAATACTAATGAAAAAAATGAAATTTTAATCATTAAACTCAATAAAAAAAAAAGAAGGTATTTTAAACATTTTTTGTACACACATTGAGTATATTGACTAAAATATTTTTTTTTGGCCAGTTTTACTTAACATAAATACACAAATGATTTAGATTGAAAAAAAATCAAAAGATTAAGGTTTAAATTGACAAAATTAAAAATTTAGAGTTTATTTTGTTACATACCTTAGGGGTTTTTTGGTAATTTCCCGTATATTAAAATGCATAATTAAATACTTATGTCATTAATAAAATATTAGGAAAATTTGGTCAAAGCACCCTTATAATAAAAATTTCAAGCATTACGAACAAGCAAAAAAAATTTCTTCAAAAGTCCAACACATATCACTATTACTAAAATTTTCTTAGTGAGTAATTTAATATTTTAAACTTTAAAATGATATAACTTTTAATTTAGATGTCACTTTTTAATAAAATTAGTATTTTTAGAATCCTCTCGTCAATATCTATCAAACAAGATCTATGTTGGCTATGAAATTCTTTTTTAAAAAATTACCATTGAAATTAACATCAACAGTAAAATTTTACTCTATCTCACACTAAAATTTTACTTTGATTCACAATAAATTTTACTATAAAATTTTAATTTTTAAATATTAAAATACTATCATCATCGCTAAACACTATAATCACTATAATTGTTAATAAGCAAGGAAGTTTTGGCCAAAGTAAACTTCTGCTAGCATTTATAAATAGATTGTCACCAAATAAAACTCAAACCAAAATAAAAATGGTACTGTGAATAGAGTAAATTTTTACTGTTGACGTTAGTTTTGATAGAAAAAAAAAAAAATTTACTTTTTTTTTAAAGAATTTCATAGCCAACATAGATCTTATTTGATAAATCTTGACGAGAAGATTCTAAAAATACTAATTTTATTAAAAACTAGTATATAGATCAAAAGTTATATCATTTTAAAGTTTGAAATATAAAATTAGTTACTAAAGACAAGATTGTCCATAAAAAAATAAAAACAAATCTGTTTGTTCTTAATGAAAGAGACGATTCTTCTCCAACGGTTTACAAATTAAAAAAGTTTGGATTGTCCTTTTCACTAAAAAGGAACACAAGGAGGGGGTTTTGGCTTCTTTCTTTCTTCTATCTAAAAAAAAAGAGAGGGAAAAACCCTAAATAAGGGGTCTAACCAAACAAGAGGGAAGAGTTCTGTTCCTTTCCTTCACAACTAACTCTTCCCTTCACTTCTCCCCTCAATCCAAAAATGAATGGTCAAGATCCAATCATGGAACTATAGCTCTTAGTTGCACGATCCAGTCATGGAAACTATAGCTCTTAGTTGCACGAAGCGAGAGGGGGGGAGAGCAAGAGCGAGAGCGGGGGCGAGAGCGAGAGCGAGAGCGGGAGCGGGAGAGAGGAAGCATGAGCGATAGAAATTTCTTATGTTCCGAGCGCCTCAGGAAGCGGTTATATATGTTAAAATGTACCAAAACCCTACCACTACACATACTCCACCCACTTCACCTACTCCATCTACTACTCCACCTACTACTCCACCTACTACATACCTACCTCCTCTAATCTTCTATATATAGGACTCATTGTAAACACAATAAATATCAATCAATCAATAATACAATTCTCTATTTCTCTCTTTATACATTAAATTTTCTACATGGTATCAGAGCAATAAGATTTAAACCTGTATTTTTTTCTCACCGGCGGGCAGCCGGCC